GAGAGAGAGAGAGAGAGAGAGAGAGAGAGAGAGAGGTTGGGAACCAATTAGCAGGAGACGTGACATCTCCTGATGAAATCTGAGTCGGGATGTTCTTCGATTTTAGTGTGTTTCCATGGCTGCACCGTCACTGAGCTTGTTTTTCACACAGCTCGCGAGCGTCTGATATTCCCGTTGGCGTTAATCATTTGCGTTAAGATGCTCTTGTTGGGGGACGATGCTGCAGCAGAAGGTATCTGACGTTAAAAACCACCCCTTTGTCAGGATTTTTCCCAGAAGCCTCAGTGAACGTGCAGCCATTTAAAGTCGAAGGCTGAGAAACGCCGAAACAAAGGCCATATATGTGTGTGTGTGTGTGTGTTGTGTGTGCGTGTGTGTTTCCTCTGTGTCTGTAAGTGTGTGTGTTATTCCTTGACGAGTCGATAGATGTGGTGCTGTGCTCCGTGCTCATTGTTGGACACCTCGAACACACACGCCATACACAGCAAGGTCTCCTGAGTGTCTCTGTTGCTCACCACCTGCACACACACACACACACACACACACACACACACACACACACACACACACACAGAGAGAGAAAAGAACAAAATCAGCTGTTGTTCACCCGCATGAAACAGAGAACAAACCGACTGTAGTGTGCGACTGTGCGTCGTCCTCACCAGCAGAATAGTGAAGTTCTCCAGCACACTGTTCATCATGTATTTCTCAGGCAGGTGTTTGAGCTTGTGGATGAAGTTGATCATGTATTCACACATGGGCGAGCGATTGATTCTGTAGACGAAGCGTCCGTTCTCAAACCTGGCGTACTCCGTCTGAGGGGGGGGGGGCAAATCAATTTAAACATGTGACTGACCATCAGGGTTATAACATCGTAAAAAAAAACAACCTTATTCCTTAAGCACTTTTTAAAAACAGAGTTTACAAAGTTTATAAAAGCAAGAAAAGTAAATATAAGAGAAATAACAGAAGCAGCAGGATTCGCCCACGTTGAAGTGGAAACAAGGTATTGTTCAAATTAATCTAAACAAGTAGAGCGCATGAAAACCTGAACACAAAAGTAATATGACAATATAAATAAATGATAAAGTGAAATATAAAGTGAAAACAAAATGATAAGAACACGAGAGCACGTGAAATCAAGTCTCTAAAAAGTGATTTAAACATAAATAGTTCATTGTTATTATTTGAAATATCACATTAAAATTTTTGTGTTATGTGTCAAGTTTTCTTTGTTCCATGGTGATGGTTTTAATTTGATTTCACTTTCTGTGAGAAAAGTCTTTTCTGAATAAGAAGTTAAATACCGTCCTGTTTGATTTCGGTGATAAAATAAAAATAAAACTTCCTGTGTCGACCCCACATCATCATGACAAGTGAACGCCGTCCTCACCTCCACCTTCTCGACCACCTGCTTGCCGAAGGAGCAGACCTTGGTGGAGCAGGTGATGGTCATGTTCTCCGAGCTCTCGTACTGGCTGCTGACGCCGTAGAAAGCCGCAGGGTCGTCCTGCACGTTGTAATTCAGGTCCGCCTGGAAACCAAACACCAAAAGCTTTGTGATTAACAACAGAAGTGATTATTGGAAATAATCGAAAATGAATCACAGGAACAACACGAGAACATGAGCACAGGGGAAATTAACCAACAGCGCCCTCAGCTGGAAGCTCGGTCACATTACATGTGTTGCATCAACAGGTGGCAGCTGAATTAAATCTTATTCAACGAATCAAACTACAAACTAAATGTTTTGATCTGTGTCTCATTCATTCAGTAATATATTTTATTTTTGAGTATAATTTATATTTTAGGTGTATATTATTTTATTTTAATGAAATTTGTTTTGCTTTCGTGGTTTTTCTTTCTAATGTGATTGTTGTGCACACGATGAATAAAGTCTTGAAGGATGTGAGTCTGTTGTTTCTCACAGCTTTGATTGATTCTAGTTTCTTATGAAGTTAAATAAAATCCTCATGTTTGTTTCTTTGTGCGTTTGAACACAAACACGGGTTCGTTCACACTGACTCGACGATCTCCTTCAGTTTTTAAGGTGCAGCTGCTTTTTATCAGAGAAAACATTCGGCTCAGACACGAGAAACCTGCCTGTCAGGTTCAGATCAGGCTCCACTCATTTCCTCTTCTGTTCTCTAGCGTTCGCCTCGACTTCAGCTGCAGGTGTTCACAGATACCAAGACTCTGATCGAGGGAAACTTTTGAATATTAAATTGTCATCACTTTGAGGTTTGATCCAATTTGAAAATTGTTCATTTCAATTGTTTTAAATTTTGTCTTGCAAAGTTTGTGCAAGAACGTTTGAGCTTTGATCTGCAAAAATAGAATCGGTTCATCCTTGAATCAAAGTGAACGTTTGTGCCAAATGTAAATAATTTCCTCGAGGCTTCACTCGTGAGAAGAGTCTGTCGCCTTCACTGGGGCAAAGAAATAACTGTGAAAGCCGAGAGTTGAAGAATCAGTTAGTGTCGTAAAGTGTATAAACGGAGACGCCTGTGATCACCACCGACACGTTAAATCAGTGTCTGCAGAACGCCGATGGGAAAAAGGAACAGATACATGTGTGATGGATCTTTGATAGTCCTTTGGTGTTCTGCAGCACCAACACACACACACACACACACA